CGGGCTGCCGTGCTATCTATATATACATATACATATACATATTAAATTTAAATATTTCTAAACATGTTTTCTTAAAAAAAAAAAAGTTTAGAAAACATCTTTCATACAAAAGTGAAAGTTAATGTTTTTAGACATGTTTTCTTCCCAAAATATTTTAGAAAAGTTGTAGGTGACTTCACATCTTTTAATAACAATATAGAAAATTTTAGATATTTTTACATATTTTAATATAATATTTTAGGTGGTTGTAATATTTTAAACATACAAATTTTATGTTCTCTTCTACAAGCTAATTTTAGATTGTCTATAATAAACCAATATACATGTAAATTATATCACATGTTAACCCCATACATTTAATTTGTTTACCCTCATATTTAATTTACAATATTTTTTCTTGCTCTTTTAGGAAAGGATGGTTTTCCCACTTCTTTCATTGGGTGACTCGAACTCGAGGCCTATTTATAATTATTATTTTAATATTGTTTGTCCGTGCATCGCACGGACTACGCACTAGTTTTAATTTAAAAATAAATTCATGTTATTGAGTGGTTACCATTTCATAATAGAGATTTTTAAATTTTAATCTATATATATATATAATTAGGGCAAACTTCATTTAATTTTATTCAGCTTCAATTAATAATAATATGAGGTCATTTAATAAAAATAGGTTGCATTTAATAAAAATATGTTCACCATTTAATAATAATATGTAACTTTCAATTACACAATTTATTTTGACATGTCTCATTTTGGATGGTCCCCATTTATGTATCGCATTTTTATGTCATGAAATATAAAATATTTTTATTTTTATTTTGATGCTATATATCTTTTGAGTATAATATAAATACATATATCACAATTAATTAAAAATGACTACAAATATCTCTATTTTCTATTGCAGTCATACAATAATAAAAATTTAATTTCGGATATTACAAAGATACATTAAATATTTTGAAAATCAAATCCTTGAGTCACGAGTCGAAGAAATTTAATGATAATGATTTATTTTGATGAAGATTCTGACGATAAGAAAATTACTAATATTTTATATAAAAAAAATTTAATAATATTTAGATTCACGTTTTTAAATAACTTTTTTCTCATTCATTAATTTATTATTTTTTATTTTATTCTATATTCTTAATTACTTTCACATCTATTAAATCATTTTCGTGCAAATGCATGGGGTAAAATTGATTTGAATAAAATCCGTCATTTTAGGAAATTCAAATTTGTAAAAATGTGATTGTGGTTTTTAGAATTTGAATGAACCCATTCATGTATGCAACCCGATTTTGAAAAAAAAAAAAAAAAAAAAAAAAAAAAAAAAAAAAAAAAAAAAAAAAAAAAAAAAAATGAAATACATATCAGTAGAGACTTGAACAAAATCCTTTATTTAAAGAATCATTTATAACTTTATTCAAATTTTGAATGCAACCCACTAAAACAGCAACCAAAATATTTCAAAATTAACTAAACAAATTACCACCATTTTATGGTGCATTTAATGCTATCCGATTTAAAGTTAAAAAATAAAAAAAAAAATAAAACAATCTGAAAATAGAATGAATTAATTATGTATTGACTTTTCTTGTTATTATTTTTGGTAAATATGTTCTCTCTTTATATAGATATATAGATTACATATTGCTAGCAAAGCAATTAATTAAACTTTTTTTTCCGCCTTTTTTTGTTTCTTGTGCATTAATCACAATTATATTTTTTATTTATTTTATTACATAATTGTTGCTATTAACTAAATAATGAAGGTACATTAAATGTTATCCTAATCTAAAGCTTTTTTTTTTCAAATTATATATTTATTTTTTTTCAACTCATTAAACAAGTTTTTTTTATTAAAATTAGTTAATTATTTTTTGTGGCATATCCAAAACCTTTAGGTCCTGGTTGGTATAATGGAATGAAATGTCGTGGGAATAGAAAGAATTGAAGAATGGAATGATTATTGGAATGGAATGAAACAAGTTTTGTCATTGATGCGTTTGGTATGCAGAAGGAATAAGACCTGAATGGAATGACATTATTATTTTTATTATAAAAATAAATAAAAGTTTTTTAATAAAATAATATATTTTCATAAATTATATATAAATGCTTTTTTTAATAATTCATAAAAATAAAATAATATATAAAAATAAATAATATATTTTTTATTAATATAAAAAATAATATATTTTTAAAAATATATAAAAATAAAATAACATATTTTTAAATTATATATAATACATAATATTTCTTAAAAGTGCTATAATTTAAATATATAAAAAATATTAAATTTTTATTAATATATAAAAATAAAAAGTAATATATGTTTAATAATATGTATTTTTATTTTTTAATTAAACAATAAATAAAAATAAGTTTTCAATTTTTTTATTTGAATTTTATTTCTTAAAATAATATATACATAAAAATAAAGTAATATATTTCTAATAAAATATATTTTTAATGTTTTTTAATAATATATTTTTCAAAGTAACATATTTTTAAATATAAAAAATAATTTATTTTTAACTATATATAAAAATAAAATAATATATTATGAAATCTATATAAATGCTTTTTTTTAGTTTTATTTTTATATAAGTATTTAATATATCTAATTAAACAATAAATAAAAGTAAGTATTCAATATTTTTATTTGAATTTTATTTTTTAAAATAATTTTATTTAATATATTTTAATCATTATTTATAATATATATATATATTTATTATTATTATTTGTTAATTTTATTTTTTGAAAAATTGGTTCCTACACACATGGGAATGAGTAAACCTTCCATGAACTATGGAATGGCTAATGCCATAGAGACGTGTTTTGTCATTCTCATTGGAATGGTCATTCCTTTCCAAAAAATATACCAATCATGGGATAAGGAATGAGTAAGTGAATGATCATTCCATTCTCGTTCATTCCCTCATACCAATCATTCCATTAGAATTTTGTACACAATTGCTATAATAATAATTTCAATATTTTTTATCTACTTAATTGTCATAATCAACCAAGATTGCATAAATTTAAAGACTAATATGTAAGTTAAATAGTTTATATTTATATTGTTATTTTAGTAATGATAAAATTTATAAATGTGATATGCTCATTATCTAATTTATGATTTTTTTAATTTTACTTGAAACACTTATATATAACGAACAAAAATTTATTTTCCCATTCCCGTGTCATTCCCTCATACCAATCATTCCATTAGAGTTTTGTACACAATTGCTGTAATAATAATTTCAATATTTTTTTATCCACTTAATTGTCATAATCAACCAAGATTGCATAAATTTAAAGACTAATATGTAAGTTAAATAGTTTATATTTATATTTTTATTTTAGTAATGATAAAATTTATAAATTTGATATGCTCACTATCTAATTTATGATTTTTTTAATTTTACTTAAAACACTTATATATGATGAACAAAAATTTATTTGCATTTGTGCATGTGCACAGGATATAATTCTAGTGATATATGAAAGTTACATACAATAATATTTTACACTAAATCAATATTATATTTTTTTTATATGATTAAGATATTCACTACAAGAAATGTCAATTTTAACTAGACATTTACCTAGATCTTTGTAGGTAAAGTTCTTGCTGGTAAATTTTTGTCTAGCTATTTTATAGGTAAACGGATTTAGCTAGAAATTTTTGGATTTAGCTTGAAATTTTTGTCTAGTTAAAATTGACATTTCTTGTAGTGATTGTTTTAAATAAATTAATTTTTTATGTCATAGTAAAATTTCTTAAAATCACATAAACAATTGTTATAATAAATTTAATATTTTTCAGCTAATTAATTGGTCATGATCATTCAAAATTACAAAAATTATATCTTTATTACATTTTATGCAATCCATATAGTGACTGGTATGCAATCAAATCGTGTGTAATATTTATTTTAACCAATGATCAAATTTTAAAATATAATACTATTATCTAATTTATAATTTTAATATTATATTCATAAATATAACTTATAATACTATATGTTTGAAATATAATACTATTATTTAAGTTATAATTTTTAATATTATATGCATATAAATAACTTATAATATTTAATTTTATTTAGAACACATAATTATACTAACTTCACAAGCTGTACACTTGATTACCTTGTAGTAAACAATATCCAAGACTACTTGCATATACATATAGTATGCATAAATGAAAGCAAAATCAAAGCCTTAGCGAAAGATCAAGCTGGCTGAGCTCTTCTTGACGAACGCAACTATCCCTTTCACCTCCAACAGCACTAAATCCATAATTCATCCCGAGACAACCGGCCCGACCCTCACGGTTGGGCCCAAAAACTGACCCATCAACCCGAGTGTGGGGACGAATTATGAGTTCTCTGCTTTTCTTGGCAAGGGTTCTCTCCAGCTTGTGAGCATTTTGATGCCCTCCAAGTGCTTGTGAGCTGTAGAATTTCTTCCTGCAATAGTTGCACGAGAAAACACGGGCCTCGACCGGGCTCGAGGATGGTGATTGGGAATCGTTTGGCGATGAAAGGTAAGGGATTGAGTCTATGCTAATCATCTCATCATTATGATGATTACGATTATTATTAATCATGGATGATAAACTAAGGTTAAGGAAAGTGTTTGGCTCATAATCCATGGTTAAGTAATTGGAATAAAAATGAATGAATATGAGAATTTTAATGAATGTTTGCTCTAAGTATGACTCTGTGGATTAATTTTGGGGTTAAGAGAAAGTGGCCTCTATATATAGACACACAGCCGTGTGAGGTCTTACACAAATCCTTCTATCACATTTTTATATTTTATTTGGCCCATCACTTATACTGACTGATATATTTCATAACTAGTATTTGACCCTGTGTAAATATGTAAATAAAATCTTATGAGTTATTTGTTTACGTATAATATTAAAATTATAAGTTAGATAATGATAGTATATTTTAAACATATTGTATTATAAATTATATTTACGCATATAATATTAAAATAATAAGTTAGATAATGATATTATGTTTTAAAATTTGATTATTGGTTAAATTAAATAGTACGTAATGATTTGATTGCATATGAATCACTATATTGACGACATAAAATGAAATAAATAATGCAATTTTGGTAATTTAGAGGCATCATGACTAATTAATTAGCAAAACAATATCACATTTATTATAACAATTGCTTATGCGATTTTTGTAAATTTTATTACCACATTATAATAAATTAATTTTTTTTTTTAGAAAATCACTTAATCAGATAAAAAGTATAATATTGATTTTAGAATATATAACTTACAAAATATTTTTCAATATAATTTTTATGTTTATGTACTTTTCATATATCATTTAGTGTCAAATATAATAATATTTTCATAATAACTATTATATGATACAATAATAAATATAGTTATTACTCAGTTAATATAAAATGTAATGGTTATTGTTTTAATTAACCTAAAAAAAGTGCAAGGAAATATTTTTTCACTAATGGGTAGAGTGAATTAATGTAATAATAATAATAATAGTAATAATATTAATAATAATAATAATAATAATAATAATAATAATAACAATAACAAAAATAATAATAATAATTGTTGATAAACGGATTTGATCAACCTTTTTTAGTATAAAACTTTGGTATTAATGCAGATATGAGGCCATTTTATTGATTAAACGTGGAGTATTTTGTAACAGACTCAAGTCGGGAATTCAGACTCGAGGTCAGTTTTTCCGTGGTACAGTAATGTCGAAAAATGGGCGTAAACCGAGGTGATTAATACAGAATTTAATGTGTCCCCCAAAAGATCCTCGTATCGTGTTTAATGCGGCTATTTATAGTAACTGTGGGCTCGTCTTTTGAGGGGATGCAGCGGCATTTAATGTAGTGTGACAGGGCGCAGGTGGGACCCCCTGCAATGATGCCCTCACGTGGCTCTCAGACATCTGATGGACGGGCATTTAATGCTGCCTGTCGGTACCGACGTCAACCCATATTTGAGGTCGTCTTCACTGCGAGGTCGGCATCTTGGTGTAGTCGGTCCTCCGAGGTCGGTTTATACAGCTCGGGAAACTTTCTCTTCGTTCTCCTCGACTCGATCCCTTTTTCTTCCTTTCCTCCACGTGTCGTTCATCCGACTTCCGAGAGGATTTTTAAGTCAACATTGAGGCCCTTGAAATTGAGGGGGACATATACTTTGGTCCACCTTAATGTCATTTACCGTTCTCTGTTAGCATCTCCTTCTTTGGGACTCCAGCCGACTTCTTATACTTAGCCAACAAATGTGACTTTTTCTTACTTGTGGTTCACAACTCCCCCAATACGGCGTGTGTCGTCACGAAGCGACGCGCTCGATTCCCCCGATTTTAAGCGGTTACGTCTCTTCACTGCACGTTCCCACGATCTCTGACGGCCTTATTACGTGGCAGATTCTTATTCGTCCGCGTGTAACCGTTTGGACAACACAAAATGTCTCTATCTTTAAAGGTGACGGTTCGCGAGCATCAGTTTTTTCATAACGGTCATATTGCTCGAACATAAATACTCCCTCTTCTCCAATTTTCCGAATCACATCATCCTTTGCCCTGAATCTGGCTTTCTTTCCTTTCACTCCTACCATCCTTAGTTCTTTTGATCTCTGGTTCCCGACGTCCCTAACTTTGTCGTTTGTTCGTGGTGAGTTCTCCAATCTACCTTTATTTTTCTGTCCTTGTACTTTTTTCTTTTCCCCTTTCTTCGACGTTCTATCCGTCGCCTGGACGATGACGGAACGAGAGGTTGATAGTAGTAGTCGGACGATTTCCGACGAGGTGGCCCGTGAATCTTCTTCCGACGAGGAGGCGGATGTGGAGTTGGCGTTAGGGTACTACCGTTGGGACCCGGTGTTGGCCGAGCGTTTGGTCCTTAAGAGGAACAACCATGAAGGCGACGCTGAGGTCGAGAAAGATCTCCACATTCGCGTAGGCTATTTGAACCGACCTCCCCACCGCTGGGCCGACACTGATGCGATTTTCCCTTGCGAGCCTAGTTCAATGACCGACGCCGACGTGGTGTTACTAAGGAAGTCGGCTCGTATCCCATCTACGGTGAAGATGTTTGCCCCATACCCTGGGGAGAGGATCCACTCCCCTCCTCCCGGCTGCGTTGGGGTATTTGCGTAGAGTATCAGGTCGGGGTTGAGGTTCCCCCTCCCCAACATGATTATCGACTATATCCGAGATTGGGGGATCAGTATTAGCCAGATCACGCCGAACAGTTGGAAGAAAATCCTCGGCCTTTTGGTCCTCTGCACGCAGAAAAAGTTGTCGTTTCCCTCTATCGACGAGTTTCGGAGCATTTTCTTTTTTAAGCGAAGTCGAGAGCGGGATGGTGTCCCACCCACCGGCTGTTTCTTCTGCTCTGCCAAAGCACAGGGGGTACTAAAAGTCGGCCAGTTAATCACCAGGATTCCCGATACTTTACACGGTTTCCAGGAAGAATGGTTCTGGGTTGGCGGAGATTGGGAGTCAGCCGACTTCTTTTGGAGAAGAAGATCGATGGGATGACCGTCCCAAACCGGGCTGTTTCTTCTTATGGTAAGATTCTCTTTGGTATCCCACTTCACCACCTCCTGATTGTTGGTCTTTTTCTTTCGCTAACAGGTCGGAACTTTTGGTCTTTGTAGTCCGGAGGAAGAGGGTACCGAAACTCACTGCTGAATTCGAAGAGAGACTCAAGGATCTTGCGAAACTCGACTTCTCCGTTCGCAGTTGGCAGAAGTTATTGAAGGAGACAGAGCTCGCTAAGGCGGAGCTCACAGCTACTCGCCCGTTCATAACGTTCCCCCCTGGTAAACTCGGGTTTTTGTTATCGGTTTTGACGTGAATTGTTTCTATTATCATTTATTCATTCTTTTTATGATTCGTCTTGGTGTGGATTTTCAGTTTATTATCCCATTCTCGGTTTCCTTGGTTTCAAAACGATCGAGGATGCCCAGGCATTTCGACGCAAAGTTCCCAATACCGATATTCAGCTCAAGTTCGAGAGAGAGATAGAGATGGGTCGCTTGAAGTTTTTGCAAAGTGTGAAGAATGCCTCCACTAGCCGAGGTGTGGCGACTACTGGTCCCGTCGCCAGGTCGGTGCCTTCAACGGAGGAACCGAGGTCGATCCAGGCTCTGGGCCCGACCTAATTGCCGAGCAGTTTCAGGGAACCGAGATGGTCGTGAAGTCCCCGACCCGCCCCGACCTCGGGGAGGAAGTGATTCCCGAGACCCCTCAGGACGTTCATATCCTCGTGCCCAGCGCCGAGGAGGCTGAAGGTGAAAAGAACAACGTGGAGAGGACTGATGCCCGCAAGAAGCGCAAATCAAAGAAGAAACCTGAAGATGAACCGCATACCGCCGGGGAGCATCGGTCTAAGATGAGGCATGACCCCGTTTTGACCCTGGAAGAGAGGAACGCTCCGGTTCACCAAGACAAGAGTTCTACTTTCTTGCCTCTCGACGANGAGAGGGTCCTTAATCTCAACTTGCCTCTTGGGGTTTCCGAGTGGTTTACCGACTTCCATTCCGTGGCGTATCCCGAGATCCCGAACAAGTATCACCAGCCACCCCACGTGATCGGGGCGGCCCAAGTCCCCTTGATGGCTTGGGACCCGACCTCAGAGGTAATGCTGGTGTCGATGTCGGACGTTCAGAAATTTTGTTATGCGAAGGCTTGTCTGGGAGGGCCTTGGTGAGCTTAACTTCAGTGGAAGATGTGTTCCGTTCGAACTTCACCGAGCTCGAGGGTAAGAAGGACAAGGTCGTCTATCGTGACGTTCAAATTTCCTCCCTGCAATATGAGAAAGAAGGGCTTGAAGCAGCGGTGACCGCGAAGTCCGACCAGTTGGCCGCAGCACAGGCCGAGATTGCGGCCTTGATGGAGGATAAGAGGCACCTGGAAACCGAGGAGTACAAGCTATCAAGCCAAATCATTGACTCCGAGCATAAATCCAAGGAGACGGCCGAAAAGCTCGCGAAGGTGCGTGAAGATCACCAAAAGACCCGTCAGGACCGAGCCGAGAAAGAAGCTGAGCTAATCCGGTTGAAGGAGTCGCACGAATCGGAGGTTTATCGACTCGAGAAAGAGAAAGCGGAGTATGGAACTCTTATGCGCAACCGAGGTGTTGAGGCGGGCAAGGAACTCGGGAAGGAGGAGTTCAAAAATTCCGAGGAGATGGAACGTAACCTCGAGTTCAATACATGCTTGAACCTCCGTTGGACTATTGATCGTCTCGGCTCCGGTCTCTATGGTGTTGGCGACCTCGAGCTCATTTTGCACAATAAGATAACCAAGTTGGGTTTCAATGCTTCGGTCTCCGAGATGCGTGTTCCGGCCGACGACGATGAGAGGGACTACGTCGAAGGCGTCTTGAACGAGTCCGATCTGAAGATAACGGCTTCAGCTCTCCCCCCTGAGTCGCGATAAGCATGCCGAGCTACAAAGGGCCTTTATGGATATGGTCCTTGAAGGGGAGAAAGAAAAAAGGGAAGAACTCGGTCTCAAGTTTATTGACACTCTTGCCGGCATCACCGTTGAGCATTTCAGGGTTCTAACCCCGGCCGAGATCAAG